TCCCGCGATTCAAAGCTTATTCGGGTCAGTCCTGTGATTAAAAGCGTATTCGGGTCAGTCCCATGATTTTAAATTTCTGTCTGGGTCTATCCCATTTACATTTCTGTCCGAGTCTATCCCGTGGGTCTATCCCATTCACATTTCTGTCTGGGTCTATCCCATTTACATTTCTGTCCGGGTCTATCCCGTGGGTCTATCCCATTTACATTTCTGTCTGGGTCTATCCCATTTACATTTCTGTCTGGGTCTATCCCGTGGGTCTATCCCATTTACATTTCTGTCCGGGTCTATCCCATTTACATTTCTGTCTGGGTCTATCCCATTTACATTTCTGTCCGGGTCTATCCCGTGGGTCTATCCCATTTACATTTCTGTCTGGGTCTATCCCATTTACATTTCTGTCCGGGTCTATCCCGTGGGTCTATCCCATTTACATTTCAGTCCGGGTCTATCCCGTGGGTCTATCCCATTTAAATTTTGTTCGGGTCTATCCCGTGGGTCTATCCCATTTACATTTTTGTCCGGGTCTATCCCATTTAAATTCCTGCTCGGGTCAGTCCCGATTTTAAATTCATGTTGGGGTCAGTCCTGCCTTTTAATTTCTTGTTCAGATCAGCCCATTATAAATTTCTCATCCCAGTCAATCTCGTCAAAATGGGTCAGTCCCCATCGTTCGAGTCGTTCACAGCCGAATAACACAGGTAAGTATTTGGTGTCTACTTCTTTGTCTCAAGTTTTTTCAAAACTCAGACAAAGAGGGGCAAACTGTAGACACCAAATTTTTGGTGTAATTTCGTTTACTGTTTATTTTTAGTTTTTATTTGTCGTGTTCGTTTTTTAGTTTTAGTTTCTAGTTTTATTTTTATTTTTATTTTTAAGTTTTTATCATAGAATTTCTTGAAAAAGGGAAAGAGAAAAAGAAAAAGCATTCAAAAAAAATATGATTTAGTCATTTGTAATTTAGATTCAATGCTTTCTTGAAAGTGAAAAAAAAAAGAAAAAAAAAAGAAAAAAAGTGAAAAAATGATGAAAAATGAAAATGAAAGAAAAAGATTGAAAGTGGCATTTTGTTGTTTCTAGTTTTATTTATTTTATTATTATCCAATGTTGATTAAGTTGTTTTTATTATTATTATTATTATTATTATTATCCATTTTTTTGTTTAATTAATTAATTAGCTGAAAAAAAAAAAAAAGAGGACACGCGACTTGCAAGCTGCGTTTTTTTGCAGCTTGCAAGGAGGGGCTTCGGGCAGACCTGGGGCTGCAAATACAGGAGAAAGGACAGAGGTTTTAGGGTTGAAGGGGGATAGCTGGATATAAAAAGGAAAAGAAGTAACAGCCGCAAGAAGGAGGTTTTGGTTTTTAGAAGTGGACGGCTAAGGAAGCTAGAAAGAGAGGGCGACTGATTAAGGAAAGGAGATTGGAGTAGCGGCTGGAACTGAGAGCTCTGGGAGGCTGAGCAATGAAAAACTAGGGGGAGTTGGAGAGAGGGTTTCGAACTAAACAAAAGAGGGAGTCGGGGGAGAAGAAAACAGAAAAGAGTGAAGAGAAAGGGGACGGAGGGAAACCAGAAAACAGCGAGAGAAAGAGAGGAAGGCCGCAAGAAAGGAGAGCAGGTGGAGGACTAGGGGGAAAAACCAGAAAAAGAAGGAGGATATCTGACGGCCAGAGAGAGATAGAGAGTGACCAAGAGATGAAGCCCAAAGCTCGAAGCTCCACGGCCCTTTGTCAAAGTTCGCAGTTCGGGTTCGGCCAATCCGGGACTACCCACGGTGATTTAACTCCTGGAGCAGCGAAATAGGTAATCTTCAATCTCTTCTCTGTTCGTTTTAAAGTTTGGGTCGCAAAGCCAGTTTCGTACGTCCACCCTGACTGCATTTTTGCTATGGATTGTCTCGTGGGTTTGTTTTAAAAATCTGGTTTACTAAAGTTGAAGTCAGACAAGGTTTTGCGTTGTTCTGTTCTTTAAAGATGAAGTATAAGCCTGGGATTGCGTTTGTTGTGTGTTTGACTAAATAAAGTTCTGTGCTTTGTGGTTTAAATATGTGAAGGGTAGTTTGCATCATCAGCCTGGGTATTACCAGAAGTTCATGATCGTGCCTCTGGTTTCCTTTTGTGCGTGAATCTGGATTGGGTTAGCTTAGAACCACTGAAGCTTATGTGTTTCTCTTGATTTGATCTGACTGTAAAAGGGGGGGGGTTTGATGGATAAACCCACGAGCTTCATGATTCTATTTCTGTTGACATGATAAACTGAAAATTCTGGACAAAGTCATGGCTAAAAATTGCAGCAAGGTTTCTGATTTTCCAGATTTGTGCGATAAGCTTTCTTGAGTTTTTGTTTCCTTGTTTGGGCTTGCGGTTTGGCTAACTGTTGTTTACTCTAAAGCCTTTGATGCTTGGTTAAAAATTCTGATTCATTATGGGCTGCCGAAAGCTTCCTGGCTTTTGCAGAAATTCTTGCGGCATGCTGTCTTGCTGTTTTTCTTTATCTTGGGCGGTCATCAACTTGGATTTGCCATCTTAATCTTGCAAACAAAATGTCATGTTTGATTTGGGTTAATAATTTCTGTTTTGATAAATTTGTTTGTATGATGAAATGGATGTAGTTGCTGCTGGAAATTGCCGCAAAGCTTAGAAATAAACATGCAGCAGGCATGTGTTTAGCTGTAGAAAGCTTCAAAATGCAGAAATCTTCTACGTTGCATGCATGGAACACTTCAGAAAAATTACACTTTAACCTTTCAAGTTTCACCTCATGTTACTATGACCCAACAAATAGAATAATTTCTTCAATTGGATCCCTGTGATTTTTTGCAGTAATGCTACAAAAGCCCACCAATACTCTAAATTCTTGCGATTGGGTCATGTAATAGTTGCACTTTAAAATCTTGCTTGACCTTCCTTGGCTCTTGGACTTTCAAAATTCCTAAAATGTCTCAATTGACCTTGTTTGATTAGATTAGTGGTTGCATCTTGGGTCCTTGGTTTGCATTTGAGTCCTAAGTTTATTGCAATTTGAACAGTTGTTTGGCATTCTATCGTTTGGAAATCTTTGAGACTCTTGAGCGTTTCATTTGGACTTGAATGACTTCATGTGTTTGCAATTAGGTCCTAAAACAACGGCAATGTAACTTCCATGTCTACCTTAGTTCTACCATGGCTCAATTACTTGAGTTGTTTGATTAGCCTTGCCATTCTAGGATCTTAATTGATGGTTATATGTTTTGAGTTGACTCTTGGATAGATTGGTAAGGGGTTTTGTCCCTAGTAGATGCTCTACGTGGAAATTGGATAGGTCATGCCTCCTCCTTGATCTTTAAGCACCTTTGACTACATTTAAGTTGTGATTGAGGAAATTTTTGATGGTTTGATGGATGTCATTTGGTTTATTTACATTTTATCATTAAATTGGTGCATTAATCTTTTCCTTTGAATGGTTTTAGCCCAAATTAGCTCCTTCTTTAGCGACTATAGCCCAAGTTGAGTCTTGCTCACCTTACTAGCATTACACACGGGGGGAAGGTACAACTTCTTTTATCCCTTTTTGTCTCTCCTATGTGATCTTATGTGTTATGTGAATATGCATGTCTACTTCGCTTTCCTTACCTCCTTGCGTGCATTTACTTACTCTTACTTTTATTTAAGTTTTATGGGGTATGTGTACACCTCTTGGCTTGTAATAGATAGGGCTTGGCGAGCATCTGGTCCATTTACCCCTTCCCCTTTATGTTTTATGGGGTATGTGTACACCTCTTGGCTTGTAATAGATAGGGCTCGGAGAGCATCTGGTCCATTTCCCCTTCCCCTTGGTTGTTTGTTTTGTTGCTACATGTTTAATTGCTTTATTAGGCCCTTGCATCTAGTCGAGCATGCTAAGTGTTACGTGTTACGTGTTTACGAGTGTTTAGGCATGTCTACTTGCTTTCATAGCCATGAATGAATGGAATGGATGAATGTACGTTTCCACTAGTCCAACGCTAGTCGGAATTCATAGAATGGGCTAGTCCAACGCTAGACCCTTAGGGATTTCCCCTCGTTAGCACATCATTTGCATGTCCATTACATGTCATGCATTTTCTTAGTTTATCATTTGGCATGCTCCTCGATTCTCCTTTCCCCTCATTTTAGGATTTTTGCACCCCATACTAGCAATAGGGTTCATTTTGCTTGAGTGTCCCCTTCCGATAAGGGAAACGAGCGAGTGTGGCTACTCGATAGCCTTAGCACGCTAGGTTTGCCTTCTAATCAAAGGGAAAATCAAGTCACGATTTAGGTCTCCCCGTACCCAATATGCATGAATTCCCTAGGCTCATGCATTCTCAATCCACTCTATCATTACACTTTCACTTTTGTCTCATTTGCACACATGCACCTTTTTATCACTTTCACTTGCTTTTCTATCTTCACTTGCACACAAACACTTGGATTTTTCATACAATTTCACACGTGCACCTTTTTATACACTTGCACACTTGCACTTTATCCATCATTTGCATTAATCGACCTCTATAAGGTTTTCCTTTATTGGCCGCCACAACTCATGTGGTTGGGACCAAAAACCTTACAAGAGACATTTTAGAATTTAGGTTTGCATTTTTTCTTTCTTTTTGCATTCATCTAGTCAAATCCAAAACATGCAATACATATTTTTGGTAGAAAAGTTAGGAAAGGTGGGGCTAAATCACGCAACTAGCCTTGGCTAGGTCGAGGGGTGTCTTGGATTTTTATCCTTGCCTTCTCCTTCGTCAAATGTGACTCCCGAACCTTTTTCGTTGGTTTACGTGGACTAGGAGTCGTTCAAAAGGGGTTTCTTTCTATCTTTCCTTTAGAAAATTTCTTTTTGGGTGACTTGGTACACCCTAACTCTATACCAAGTGGCGACTCCATTTTTCATTCAAAAAACCCCTTTTGAACTTCGTTTGGCCAAATCGTCGCATTTTTAAAGTCCCATGGCCTTTTATTTTCATTTACACACGTTCACATATTCCACACTATTCACACACCACACACATTCAAAAAGTGGGGCGCGACAGTTGGCGACTGCACTGGGGAATTCACGAGATGTGGAAACATTGCCAAAACCTCATCTTTTGGCAAAAATGGCAGTATGAGAATTAGAATCTCTACATCCTTTACTTTAGTATCATACAACTTCTTAATGGTAGATAACAATTCCGGGGAAGGCGTTGTCCCATCTATCAATGTGTGTAAAACCTGCATCACAAGCTTCATGCTTCCAGTTGGTGGATCAGATAAGATTTGAAGAAGCTCAGGCGACGGGCCAATTGCTCGAACAAGCTTTGGGATGTGGTGTAATACTGCCTGCTTTACAGCCTTGGATGTACTCTCATAAATAACAAATATTTGGCGAAAGAGGGAGTGATTCTTTGTACAAATTGCAAAATACAGAGCCATGCGTCGCTGCCCCTCAGCTAGTAAGGAGGACGATATATTTTCAGATATTGAAAATGAATCGGTGACTGCTGATAACCCTTTGGAAGAGGTACCAACAACGGGAAGTTCATTTGATGGTTTTCCCATATCAGAATCCTTAAATTCAGCATTAGCTCCATCAGCATCACATGACTCCAGTGCAGTATTGGCATTTGCAGCTGATACCAACACCTCCCAGGCAAAAGCTTCTATTTGCCGTGACATTGAAGGCAGAGGATAAAGCTTGTTCACCACCAGACGTAAGGCCTTATCTCGCACTTCTTCAACCGGATGAATTGCACTCTTCAAAGCAATTGTTAGGCAGGCATCTCGAATAGGAGGCCTCAACAAAATCAGACTCCATACAATACTAAGACCTTGCCGAACTCGTTCCAGATTGTTGTTATCTTTGTTACTGCCACCAGGGGAACACATGCCCTCAAGCAATTTCAAAATGGAATCGGGCAGGTAAGGAACTTCAACAAGCAATCTATTTAGACATTTGTCAGGCCATGGAAAAGAATCCTTTAATGTTTCTGCCACGGTAAGAAGAAACATCTCATATACAGATTTAGCAGTGGTTGAGGAAACAAAGTCGTGGTCCTCTTCTGCTTCACCATATAACCTGTAGAGGACACGCAAAGTCAACTCGTGCCCCTCATGATTTACATAGTCAGACAGTATATGTGTTTGTAGTAACTTCCATGGCTCTAAATCCAATGGAAACTTAACTCCTAAATAAGCAAGGACAGAAAGGCAGACTTGAGAACCTCCAGCGGTAGCTATTTGCTTGTAAGTATCAGTTATGCGCAAGAGAATCGGCTTCTGTAAGTTATCTAGCTGGTCATCACTAAGACTTATAACCGGGGCAGAAATCTTGGGCAAAAGCAACTGTGTCGATAACCCAGAAGAAGTTGCACTTAAGGAGTTGACACAGCTTAGGTCTGTAACTGTAGCTCTAGGGCTAAGTTCCTCAGACCTATCAGTTGACACTGAAGGAAGTAATTCTAGTGATGACCTAGCTAGACTACTAACTTGTTCTTGACTTGCATCCTTCAATTCAGTTGAACCCAAAGAAGTAATAACTAATTCATCCTTGGGAACTGGTAAATCTAGACCAGGTATCTCACTCTCTTCATTCCCAACATCAATAACATCAGAGGGCGTCCCTGAACCATTCTCTGTGTCACATGGGGCATGTCCACCTGAAGAAGCTGGAGTAGTTGTAGGCACTGAAGCCTCTTCCATCACATAGCTCATACCAGGGACATCAGTATTACCCGAGGTCCCTCTTAGCTCAAGCTCATTTGCCGCAGAAGGTAGAGAATCCATCCCACTATCTTTCTGTGGGACAGCACTAGATTGTGAAAGAATGTTGGTGAGAAGCAATGTTAAATTATCAAACTCAGAATTGCTTCCTGACATGCCAGGACAAGACCCTCTGCCAAACAACTGCTCATTATCTCCTTCAATTTGAGGGAGATTTGAAGGAAAATTCCGCATGTTAGCAATTACAACTTCAGCAAGCAAGTCAGCTGATATACTAGAGATGAGAATCTCTAATGATGCAATAGCTTTTTCTCCTTGAGCAACCAATGCACCAAACATACCAACAAGTTGTTGGACAGGGCCACTGTCTTCTTCCATTTTACAAGCCCCAGATCCACCAGAAGGAACTCTGCCCTGGTCAGAACTTAAATCATTTGTTGATCCATCAGAGGTGACAGGCACAGATTTCATGCGTTTTACAGACATTTTATCCTCAAGTAGATCAGTACTTTCTTCCATTCCTGTTCTTTTCCTGCTGGCGTCATTGCGTATATCATCAAGGGCCTTGCTTGTAGGTTTTCGATCCTGGGTTATTAAAGAATCATTTTTCCTCTCTAAACTTCCACTATTTTGTGAAGCTAGTTCTATAGCAGCATGTTCTGCCACTCCTACAGCTTTTAATTCTCTCAGAGCATCAATTAAGCGATCACGCCACGGGACAGCACCCGGATGAGTACAATTCAAGCAAGAGAGGAAGGCACTCTTCAAAGCATGATGCACCCCTTTGCCACTGGAGCTTGAAGGGTCCAAACCAAGTAAAACTGGCAGAATACGTCCATAAAATGCAGGCCTTTTACTTGCAATTGCAGAGAGACTGTTGATAAGCATAATGATAATCAAGTTGTTCAGTGACTTTACTGTTGGAAATCTCAACTGATCGAGCAGCAGACCCAAACTCTGACTTGCTTCAATTGACAAATCTCCAATATTTAGTATAGGATGACCCCCTCGAAGCCATGATATGTTAAATTCTTTAACACTGGCTTCTGAATCTAGATCAGCAGGTGGATCTGAGGAGCCATTAGGATCAGGTGTATAGAGTAGAACAACTGTTTCCATAAACTTCAGTGCAAGCAACCTTCTCCCATCACTTCCTGGCTTAAATGCCAACGAGCATATCTCATCGCGAAACTTTAGCATCCATGACCAAGATGATTCCAGAGAAGTATCCAACTCGTTTGAATACATTCCCTGGAGCGCAACTTTGAATAGAACATAGCGAAATCACTAATTTTCTGAAATCACTAATGGTCATTTCAAAGCATTAGTGATTTTCAAAGCAGGACCGGGTATAATCCCGCTGACCGCTTTTTATCAAATTGGGACCGGGTTTCATCCCGCCAATCTCGGCAGGACCGGGTATAATCCCGCTGACCGCTTTTTTATCAAATTGGGACCGGGTTTCATCCCGCCAATCTCAGCAGGACCGGGTATAATCCCGCTGACCGCTTTTTATCAAATTGGGACCGGGTTTCATCCCGCCAATCTCTGCAGGACCGGGTATAATCCCGCTGACCGCTTTTTTCGTTGGGACCGGGTTTCATCCCGCCAACCTTGGCAGGATCGGGTATTATCCCACTGGTCGATCATCATGGCAGGTTCGGGTTTAATCCCACTGACCAATTCATTACTGGGGCAAATCTGTGGATACATTTTCAAATAAAGTCTTATACAGTTTTCTTCATACAGTCCCGTTTAAATTCCTGTTTGGGTCAGTCCCGTTTGAATTCTGTTCGAGTCAGTCCCGTTTAAATTCCTGTTCGGGTCAGTCCCACGATCAAAAGCTTATTCGGGTCGGTCCCATGATCAAAAGTATTTTCGGGTCAGTCCCACGATCAAAAGCATTTTCGGGTCAGTCCCATGATCAAAAGCATTTTCGGGTCAGTCCCGCGATTAAAATTTTATTCGGGTCAGTCCCACGATCAAAAGCATTTTCGGGTCAGTCCCACGATCAAAAGCATTTTCGGGTCAGTCCCACGATCAAAAGCATTTTTCGGGTCAGTCCCACGATCAAAAGCATTTTCGGGTCAGTCCCGCGATTAAAATTTTATTCGGGTCAGTCCCATGATCAAAAGCATTTTCGGGTCAGTCCCACGATCAAAAGCATTTTCGGGTCAGTCCCACGATTCAAAGCTTATGCGGGTCAGTCCCACAATTCAAAGCTTGTTCGGGCCAGTCCCATGATTTGAATTTCCTTCTCTAGTCAGTCCCAATTTTAATTTTTCTGTTCGGGTCAGTCCCGTTTTAAGTTCCTGTTTGGGCCAGTCCCGTCTTTAAATTTCGTTCGGGTCAATCCCGCTTTCAATTTCCTGTCTAAGTCAATGCTATTTTAAAAGTTTTGCCAAAAGGGGTCAGTCCTTATTTCTAAAGTGTCCACCGTTCGTGACGTTCGTAGCCGAATAACACAGGTGAGTGTTTGGTGTCTACTTCTTTGTCTCAAGTTTTTCCAAAACTCGGACAAAGAGGGGCAAACTGTAGACACCAGATTTTAGTGTAATTTCATTTATTTTTTATTCTTAATTCTTATTTGCTATTTTAAGTTTTATTCATTTTTTTTTAGTTTTAGTTTTTAGCTTTAGCTTTTAAGTTTAAAATTAGCATAGAGTTTCTAGAAAAAAGAAAAGGAAAACATCAAAAATATGTTTTAGTCATTTTGTTTTTATTCAATGCTTTCTTGAAAAGAAAATGAAAATGAAAAATCATAAAAAAGGAGAAAAGAGAAAATTGAAGAAAAAGAGGAAAAAGAAGAAAAATTCAAAAAAATAGGCTTTAGTTGGATTGGAAAAATGAGAAAAAGAGAAAAAGGAGAAAAGGAAAATTTGTTCACAAAAATATGTTTATTTCTTTAAATTCAATCTTTGGGCACTTTAGTTATTTTTATTAAGTTATTTTGAGAAAAAGAAAATGATGAAAAATGACAAATTGGAAAATTGAAAAATTGAAAAATGGCCATTTTTGTTGTTTTTATTTGTTTAGTTTGTTTTTTTTTTAATTTTTAATTTGTTTTTATTTTTATTATTATTATTTAGGTTTTGTTGTCAATTTGTTATTATTATTATTTATATGTTATTATTTTGGTATTAATAGTTTCGGAAAAAAAAAAAAAAAAAGATGATACGCGACTGCAAGCTGCGTTTTTTACGCAGCTTGCAAACAAAGGGTTTAGCGGCCCTTAGCTGCAAATATGGCAAGAGGGCTGAGTTGTTTTAGGGTTGGTTTTGCTGATATAAATAGACCGAGGGGACAGCCGCAAACAGGAGAGGGAGTCGGGGGAGAAGAAAACAGAAAAGAGTGAAGAGAAAGGGGACGGAGGGAAACCAGAAAACAGCGAGAGAAAGAGAGGAAGGCCGCAAGAAAGGAGAGCAGGTGGAGGACTAGGGGGAAAAACCAGAAAAAGAAGGAGGATATCTGACGGCCAGAGAGAGATAGAGAGTGACCAAGAGATGAAGCCCAAAGCTCGAAGCTCCACGGCCCTTTGTCAAAGTTCGCAGTTCGGGTTCGGCCAATCCGGGACTACCCACGGTGATTTAACTCCTGGAGCAGCGAAATAGGTAATCTTCAATCTCTTCTCTGTTCGTTTTAAAGTTTGGGTCGCAAAGCCAGTTTCGTACGTCCACCCTGACTGCATTTTTGCTATGGATTGTCTCGTGGGTTTGTTTTAAAAATCTGGTTTACTAAAGTTGAAGTCAGACAAGGTTTTGCGTTGTTCTGTTCTTTAAAGATGAAGTATAAGCCTGGGATTGCGTTTGTTGTGTGTTTGACTAAATAAAGTTCTGTGCTTTGTGGTTTAAATATGTGAAGGGTAGTTTGCATCATCAGCCTGGGTATTACCAGAAGTTCATGATCGTGCCTCTGGTTTCCTTTTGTGCGTGAATCTGGATTGGGTTAGCTTAGAACCACTGAAGCTTATGTGTTTCTCTTGATTTGATCTGACTGTAAAAGGGGGGGGGTTTGATGGATAAACCCACGAGCTTCATGATTCTATTTCTGTTGACATGATAAACTGAAAATTCTGGACAAAGTCATGGCTAAAAATTGCAGCAAGGTTTCTGATTTTCCAGATTTGTGCGATAAGCTTTCTTGAGTTTTTGTTTCCTTGTTTGGGCTTGCGGTTTGGCTAACTGTTGTTTACTCTAAAGCCTTTGATGCTTGGTTAAAAATTCTGATTCATTATGGGCTGCCGAAAGCTTCCTGGCTTTTGCAGAAATTCTTGCGGCATGCTGTCTTGCTGTTTTTCTTTATCTTGGGCGGTCATCAACTTGGATTTGCCATCTTAATCTTGCAAACAAAATGTCATGTTTGATTTGGGTTAATAATTTCTGTTTTGATAAATTTGTTTGTATGATGAAATGGATGTAGTTGCTGCTGGAAATTGCCGCAAAGCTTAGAAATAAACATGCAGCAGGCATGTGTTTAGCTGTAGAAAGCTTCAAAATGCAGAAATCTTCTACGTTGCATGCATGGAACACTTCAGAAAAATTACACTTTAACCTTTCAAGTTTCACCTCATGTTACTATGACCCAACAAATAGAATAATTTCTTCAATTGGATCCCTGTGATTTTTTGCAGTAATGCTACAAAAGCCCACCAATACTCTAAATTCTTGCGATTGGGTCATGTAATAGTTGCACTTTAAAATCTTGCTTGACCTTCCTTGGCTCTTGGACTTTCAAAATTCCTAAAATGTCTCAATTGACCTTGTTTGATTAGATTAGTGGTTGCATCTTGGGTCCTTGGTTTGCATTTGAGTCCTAAGTTTATTGCAATTTGAACAGTTGTTTGGCATTCTATCGTTTGGAAATCTTTGAGACTCTTGAGCGTTTCATTTGGACTTGAATGACTTCATGTGTTTGCAATTAGGTCCTAAAACAACGGCAATGTAACTTCCATGTCTACCTTAGTTCTACCATGGCTCAATTACTTGAGTTGTTTGATTAGCCTTGCCGTTCTAGGATCTTAATTGATGGTTATATGTTTTGAGTTGACTCTTGGATAGATTGGTAAGGGGTTTTGTCCCTAGTAGATGCTCTACGTGGAAATTGGATAGGTCATGCCTCCTCCTTGATCTTTAAGCACCTTTGACTACATTTAAGTTGTGATTGAGGAAATTTTTGATGGTTTGATGGATGTCATTTGGTTTATTTACATTTTATCATTAAATTGGTGCATTAATCTTTTCCTTTGAATGGTTTTAGCCCAAATTAGCTCCTTCTTTAGCGACTATAGCCCAAGTTGAGTCTTGCTCACCTTACTAGCATTACACACGGGGGGAAGGTACAACTTCTTTTATCCCTTTTTGTCTCTCCTATGTGATCTTATGTGTTATGTGAATATGCATGTCTACTTCGCTTTCCTTACCTCCTTGCGTGCATTTACTTACTCTTACTTTTATTTAAGTTTTATGGGGTATGTGTACACCTCTTGGCTTGTAATAGATAGGGCTTGGCGAGCATCTGGTCCATTTACCCCTTCCCCTTTATGTTTTATGGGGTATGTGTACACCTCTTGGCTTGTAATAGATAGGGCTCGGAGAGCATCTGGTCCATTTCCCGTTCCCCTTGGTTGTTTGTTTTGTTGCTACATGTTTAATTGCTTTATTAGGCCCTTGCATCTAGTCGAGCATGCTAAGTGTTACGTGTTACGTGTTTACGAGTGTTTAGGCATGTCTACTTGCTTTCATAGCCATGAATGAATGGAATGGATGAATGTACGTTTCCACTAGTCCAACGCTAGTCGGAATTCATAGAATGGGCTAGTCCAACGCTAGACCCTTAGGGATTTCCCCTCGTTAGCACATCATTTGCATGTCCATTACATGTCATGCATTTTCTTAGTTTATCATTTGGCATGCTCCTCGATTCCCCTTTCCCCTCATTTTAGGATTTTTGCACCCCATACTAGCAATAGGGTTCATTTTGCTTGAGTGTCCTCTTCCGATAAGGGAAACGAGCGAGTGTGGCTACTCGATAGCCTTAGCACGCTAGTTTTGCCTTCTAATCAAAGGGAAAATCAAGTCACGATTTAGGTCTCCCCGTACCCAATATGCATGAATTCCCTAGGCTCATGCATTCTCAATCCACTCTATCATTACACTTTCACTTTTGTCTCATTTGCACACATGCACCTTTTTATCACTTTCACTTGCTTTTCTATCTTCACTTGCACACGAACACTTTTTTATCTCCACTTGCACACGAACCCTTTTATCTTCACTTGCACACGA